GGGATGGGTGTGTCGGAGGCGGTGCAGTTGGCGCAGGATAGAGCAGGGTTTAGGGCTGTTGTGCATAGGGTCGCTATGAGTCGGAAATGACTCGACGGCACATAACAACAACAACAACATACTTGGCATACTATCTATATGGATATTTTGCCCCATGTCTTCAATATCAACACTTTCTTGATTTAATAAATGCATAGTAAATGTATAAATCAATAAATTAAATAAAGAAACAGATGAATCTTGGTGCACTCTTCCCTGTGTATATAGGCCTGGAGGCTGGGAATTTGAAACTAGGCTCCTCACTCCCTGTGAGGGCTCTGAGAGAGACTCTTCTCTGCTTGCATCCTGGCACTGGAGCTGCCAGCCATCCTTGGCTTCTAAATGCATCCTCACGTGACTTTTGGTCTGTCTGTCTCCTCTTTTAAACGTTTTATTTCTATATCACTTTTTTTTCTGGCAGGTAGGGGGTGTGCATACTGTTGGTGAAAATGGTGCCTTTCACCTTGGAGCCCGGTTCCTCAGAACTTGGCATCAGACTTCTCGAGTAGTTAATATCATCTCCTTTCAAAAAGGTAAGTGTTACTCAAGATGAGGGGAGCAGAGGGTCCCTGTTCCCTGTTCCTGATTCCCTTCCCATTTGCAACCTTCTCTATTGCCCTTCTCACCCTCTGTCACAAGAATAATGGTGGACAAGTGAAGACAAGCTTGTCCTTTATGTGTGGAACTATCCAGCCTTCAGCCATGACTCTTAGGCTTATTTTATATCTACCTGCTCTCTCCATTACCCCTGACCATCTGATGGGAAACTGTGTTCCCACAGAACTGTACCGACTCATCTTCCAGGACATGGGCTTCACAGTCAATGAATACTCTCTCTGGGACCCTAAACAGATGCATATAGACTCAACCATATTCATCAATGTGACAAAGGTAGAACAGATCTACTCAGAATCTCCTCCCTAGACCTCATTTATAGTCTACAGTTCTTTTTCACCCCTTTACTCCTGCAATTATGTTAGCCCTTTCTAGGCTTGGATTTGCCTAGACTTCTAGTAGGAACTCACACATGAGGTATTTGCTTTTTCAATGTCTTGGTGTCATTACCGCTTGGTAGTAAATGGACCTGATAGAACTTGTCTCCATCTGCAGCAAGCCCCGTTTGGTAGTGTCCTTGTGATGGGGAACATTGCAGACTGCAAACTGACACAAAGGGAATGGACAAAGTTGATGTCTATCATGAAGGTGAGCCCAACATCCCGTCTTTCTTTCTCCCCTCTTACAACCTATCATCTCATCTATCGGTCTCATGCTTTTCTCATTTCATTTGGGATGCTATTTTCTTCTCCTTTTTTTTACAGAAGAAGCGTATATTCCCATTTTTTGACATTCCGAGTCAAGGTTTCTCTTCTGGTGACCTGAGTGATGATAGCACAATCTTACAGTTCTTTGTGGCTCAAGGCTTTGAGTTCTTCTGCAGCCAGACCCTGTCTAAGAATTTTGGCATTTACGGTACAGTATGGGCATGAGCCAGAAGGAAGACTGTGGGTCTGAACTGGAGTGCCACATCCATGGCACAAAAGGTGTTTTTGGCATCCCTTATCCTCATGAGAGAGCCAAGGACTTCAAATAGAACAGCACAGAGGAAGAAGGAAGGGCACTGAGTTAGAAATCAGATGCTGGTAGATTGTTTTAGTTCACCAATTAAAACTAGTCACTGAGACTGACTATGGATAAATTATTTCACCAGTTTAGACCTTTGTTTCCTCAATTTTAAGATGCAGGTATATGAATTAGTCATTTTTTTATTTTTTTAAATTTTTTTCTATAATTATATTTTATTAATTTTCATAAACATTTACAGAGATTTTGGGTTTCCATTCATTCACCGCTGCACCATTCTCTCTACCCTCCTCCCAGTTTGTTCTTGTCCAAATGCCACAGTGCTTGTCAAAGCCAGTTCTGATTAATCTTCTTTGTCAATGTGTCCTTTGCCATTCCCTATCACTCCTCCCTGAGAGAGACTTCATCCTGAGTCATAAGGAAAAGGGGATGGTGTGTTCTCTTAGCTACTTCCTGCTGAAAAGGGACGCTGTGGGTTTCAGGGTGAAGATCTTCTCTCACTACTCTAAAGGGCCCCTTTGGCAGTAGGAAACACATAGACTATTATGGAGATTGATTTTGGAATTTAGATGCACTCTTATTGATTGTGCTTGGCCATACATGTTCATATCCTTGAAGATGTATCATGGGGGTGTTGCAACCTAGAAGACACAAATTTGACTAACAAGTTATAAGTACATGAGTCCAAAAATTAAGGAAAAGTAAAATAAAAGATTCTTTCATTGTTCCACAACCCCCCCCCCAGGTCCCCTCCACCATGTAGCCCTCACTCTAGACTCCTGTGATGACAGAAACACCCAGTTATATATCTCTTTTAAACAGTTCCCTTCCTCCTCCGCCTCAGTGCAGCACACATCATTGAACCCATCTTACTCAGTCTCTCCCCAACCCCAAGGACAGTCCCATTCTACAACAGTGGCATCATGTAATATTTGTCCCTTTGTGACTGGGATATTTCACTCAGCATAATGTTCTCCAGAGTCAACCATTTTGAATAATACTGCATGAGTTCCTTGTTTTTTAATGCAGCATAGTATTCCATTGTGCGAATATACCACAGCTTCTCTAGCCATTCGTTTGTTGATGGGCACTTAGGTTGTTTCCAACTCCTTGCTATTGTGAACAAAACTGCAATAAACATGGGTGTACATATATCCAAAAACTTCTCCAGTAGGGTAAAAAGGGAAGCCACAGACTGGGAAAAAGTATTCGGTAATACCATATCAGATAAGGGACTTATATCCAGAATTTATTAAATACTTTAGCACCACAACAAGATAAAGGTAAATAATCCAATAGAAAAATGGGCACAGGATATGAACAGGCACTTCACCGAAGACGACATTCAGATGGCTAACAAGCACATGAAGAAATGCTCAAAATTCCTAGCCCTAAGAGAAATGCAAATTAAAACAACTATGAGATATCATTTCACCCCAGTCAAAATAGCGAAATTTAACAGAACAGCAAGCAACAAATGCTGGCGAGGTTGTGGAGAAACTGGAACCCTGATTCACTGTTGGTGGGAGTGTAAAATGGTGCAACCCCTGTGGAAAGCAGTATGGCGCTTTCTCAAAAAGTTGCAAATAGAGATACCATTTGACCCAGCAATTCCACTACTGGGAATATACCCTGAAGAGACCATAGCTGACATCCAAGCAGATATATGTACACCCATGTTTATTGCAGAATTAGTCATTTTTTAAAAGTCCCTTTCACCTTTAATACTTTTGTTTGTGTATACTTCTTTCAAAGAATTGTTGTTGTTGTTCTTATGTGCCGTCAGGTCGCTTGCAACTCATAGTGACAGTATGTACAACAGCCCTAACCTCTGCTCTGTCCTGTGCCAATCTCACTGTCTCAGACACACCCATCCTGATTACCCCAGTCACTGAATCAATCCACCTCCCAGAGGGCCTTCCCCTCCTGTGCCTGCGCCTACCAATCACTAAACTTAGGAGACTCTGGTCACAGCATAGGAAGCTTTAGATATAAGATATCAGATCAAGGGCTGGACAATGGAAGACAAATGTCAAAGGGAGTGGGTCGAAGTGGATGGGTATCTTAATGGATGGTGGAACAAGGAAATAAGTGGGTCAAGACACTTGTGCCAAGGTCAGGACAACACTGAAACTAATGGTTAATTCCGCAATAAGGGATATATCTTTCACTTTTTCTGTAAAATGCTTGTCTGTTGGATACTTCTCTAAATCTGAACATTCAGACTAAGACACACTAGGAAGAAGGATTGGCCATCCACTTCCAAAAATAGCAGGCCTCTGAAAAAAATCCTATGTGTTTCAACGAATAAATATAACAAATTCCTGGAGTCAGATCCCAGTCTGTCTGGGCTGAGGTAAAGGCCTCAGAGTCCAACATTTTTTGTGTTGTATAGAGTCCTGTCAGAGGTGAAGGCCCTTGTAATATCAAAGGAGACTTCCCAGCAACAATAGCAAAGTCAACATGTCAATGAACAACAAATGCTGGCAAAGTTGTGGAGAAATTAGAACTCTTATTCACTGCTGGTGACAGTGTAAAATGGTACAGCTATTATGGAAGGCTTTCTAGTTCTTTCTCAGAAAATTAGAAATATACATACCATTTGAACCAGCAATTTCACTATCGGGAATATATCCTAAAGAAACTTGAGCTACGACCCAAACAGATGTATGCACACTCATGCTTATTGCTGTGTTATTCATAACAGCAGTTAGATGAAAGCAACCCAAATTCCTAACAATAAATGAACAGACAGAAAAACTATGGTACATTCACACAGTGGAATACTATGCTATGCAGCATTGAAAAACAACAACTCATAAAGCATTACACAACATGGGGAAGCCTGAAGAACATTATGCTGAGTGAAGTATTTCAGTCACAAAAGGACAAATACTGTATAACACTGCTTTTGTAAAATAGGACAGATGGGGGTGGAATGGACAGGGAATGGGAAAAGAGTAAATAGATAATTAACGCTGCAGTAGAACAAATGAGGGAAAGAACTGACCAAAAGGAATATACGATTAGTATGTATGACAATAGTCTGCAATAAGAAGTTTGTTGCTGGGTGCATTGGAGGAGAGGGAAGAAAATACTACAGAAGAGAAGTAAAAAATATTCTAAAATGTTAACTGGGGAAGGGAAAAGGAGGGGAGGGAGGAATAAGTGCAATAAAGAAAGAATTAAAATCCAACTTTTCTGTAAACTTTTGTTAAAATCACAATAAAATAAAAATTAAAAAATACCTCCCTGAAACAAGAGTATGTATTCAAACAATGTGTGTAGGGATACAGCATATAATTAACACTTAAACAAATGATATCTCCTAAATTTTTTTTAGATATTTAATTTTATAATTTTAGCTTCAAAATATTTGTAGTTATATTCTTCTTGGTATCTACTTTTGTACTCTATTTTGTAGTCATACTTTTGTATGCATTCAGTTTACTGGAAGAACATCAAAATTATATAAGGTTTAAACCGTGTTAAAAAAAGAAAAAGAAAAGAAAAGGAGACTGAAGGATGGGAATGTCTGCCCTCATGTTGCAGATGAAGGAGTGGGAGTCCTCGCCGTGGTGGCACTCGATAACCAGCATCTGCTGTGCACCATCTCCCAGATAATGAACTTTGCCAGTGTCCTGTGGCTTAACCCTCCAGCCCTGGGGGCCCGCCTTGTCACCTCAGTCCTCTGTAACCCTGCCCTGAAGGAAGAATGGTAAGGGGGAAGCCACGGGCAAGAAGGCATGGACAAGCCCATCCCTACCTACATTCCCAGATTCTGTGGGTTGAGCTGGGTATTCCTCTTCCTGCCTGTCTTACCCCTTTAGTCCACACATTCATCAACATCTACTGAAACTAAAAAAATGACTGCCATGGAGTTGGAATCAATTCATAGCTGACTCTCCAGTGTCTATTCTGAGACTGTAAATCACATGAGATGTTGCTTATTTTTATCCCAAGGAGGCAATGGTGAATTAGAAATGACAGAGAGGCATGGCCACTGGGTTAGCCGTGTAAATCCCTATGGACTATGCCATCAGCGCTCCTCTAACATGACGGTCTACTACATCAAGAAGTCCCTTGGTGCAGCTGATGAAACACTTGATTCCCAGCCACAAGGTTGCCAATTCAAATTCACCCAGAGTTGCCTTGGGGGCTGGGTCTGGTGATCTGCTTCCAAAAGGTCACTGCCATGTCAGTCCTATGGAGTAATTCTACACTGACACACAGAATTGGTTTAATGGCAACTCATGACGATGAATTGGGAGGTCTGGCGGCATCTTTTATAGGGAGTTGTGCTGATAAGCCAAAAGCTGTGCCTCTCCTGAGGTTCAAATCCACCAGCCACTCTGAAGCAGAAAAATGGACAATCTCCTCCACAGGTGGGGTGGCCACAGAGAGATGGGGAAGGAGGAGAGAACCTTATCATACTCTCATTTCTTTTCTTTTTTTTTTTTTAATTAATGAAAGTTTACAGAAAACTTGGATTTCCATTCATTAATTGTTGCACTTTCCAACTCCGCCTCCCAATACTCTCATTTCTTGCCAGGAAGTACAGTCTAAAAAGGGTTGTAGAGAACATCATGCTGATCAAGGAAAAGGTGAAAGAGAAACTCCGGCTCCTGGGAACCCCTGGCTCCTGGGATCACATCACTGAGCAGAAGGGGACCCATAGCTATCTTGGACTTAATTGTAAGTATCTAAGAAGTGACCATGTCCCACTTTTTTTACCTTGGGATAGTCTTTGTGTATTAAATTTCACCATCAGGTGACCAGTCCCTAGCTTTGCTCTAGACTTTTATTCTTTACTGAATGACTGAAAGATCTTTCTGGACATCCCACTCCTCTCTAAGAAACGCTGACACATCCTCATAGTCTTCATCTTGTACCTCAAGGTAGAGGGGATTTAAGAGGTGGGCAGTCCAGGCTCTTAAGTCCTGTGGTAATCACCAGCCCAGCATGTGGAATATCTGGTCAAGAAGAAGCATATCTACATTCCCAAGAACGGGCGGATTAACTTCTCCTCTGTTAATGCAAACAACATCGATTACATAGCACAGAGCATCAGTGAGGCGATCCTCTTCACAGTGAACCCAGGAGTTTCTTCAGAAGTAAATGATAAATGACTAGAATAAAAGCTTTAGTATTTGCAAAACTCTTATGTTCACTGGCTAATTATTTGTTGTTGCAATTTTTATTTTTTACAAGTCAAAAAGACACAAAAGAATCCAGAGAAGAGGGATTGTCTGTTCACTGACCTCAAGTTTATTGAGGTCTGATTTCATATCAGATCTAATTTGCAGGGAGTTGCACTCCTAATGACGGCCATGTTTCTTTGGCAGTTTCAATCCACCAGCTAGCTGTTTCTTGGAAGAAAGATGGGCAATTTCCTCTTCTGCAATTTACAGCTTCAGAAACCCATTGGAAGGTCAACTCCAATTCAATGGCAATGACTCTGACTTTGATAGGCTCTAGAAAGTCACTGAAAATTCCTGAAGGGAAATCTTGCATCCAGGGTCCCACATTATACAATAAAGGGCTAACTTGGCAAGCCTGAGTTGCCCAAACCCTGAATGATCTGAACATCTTCATGACTGGCCTATGAGGCTCCTCCTCTGAGCCCTTGGAATATCCTTCCTGATAAGAATATGTTTACATACGTGTGACCTGAGGCCAGGTATTATCAGTAGTTAAGGTCAGTCCTGAAGGTACTGCAAGTGTAGTGACTCAACTCCAGTAAAAAAATTTCATGTACATGAGGAAATTCTCAAACACACTGGCAATAAAGAGAGATGCAAATCAAAACCACAATGAGACACCACCTCAGTCTAGGAACAGTAGCAGAGTTTAACAGGACAGCAAGCAATAGATATTGGGGAGGATGTGGGGAGACTGGAATTCTCATGCACTGCTGGTGGGATTGTAAAATGGTATAATTACTCTGGAGGGCACTTTGGTGTTTCCTCAAAAAGCAGAACATAGAAATTCCATATGACCGAGCTAATCCACTGCTAGGAATATACCCCAAGGAAAACAGAACTGAGACACAAATAGAGATCTGTACGCCTATGTTCATAGCAGTTATTCACAATAGCAAGAATATGCAAATAGCCCAAGTGTCCATCTACAGATAAATGGATTGGGAAATTATGATACAGTCACACAATGGAATCCTATGCAGCACTGAGGAACAACTATTTCATGAAATAGTATATAACATGGGAGAGTCTAAACATTGTTTGGTGGGCAGAGGGGGTCAGTAAGAAGGAATTAGGAAAGATCCATGGGGACCTGGAAAGACAGGGTAGTAGTAGGCATAGATCAATTGTGATTAATTTTATAAAACCGTGAATGGAAATGTTCGCAGGAAACACAATGTGAATGAAGGAATGTGTGAAACGCAAAGTACGTGAATGAGACATGATGTATACAAATTTTGTGTGCAAACCAATACAAAATTTAAAAAAAATCTTAGGCGTCAAGATTCAGGTGAGTTTTGTTGCCAACACTTCACACATGCTGTTACATGTAACTGTCTGTCAGGAGCATTAAAAGCTGTCTGTGATTCTGCTGGGAGAGTGCCATGGGAAGCCCACCATTTGGTTTCTTCTGCACCCCACTCTGTGTAGCTTTTAGAATTGCTTTTGCTGAAGTCTAAGCTTTGTCTTTTCATTGTAAATCACAACTGTAAGAGCTTTTCAGGTTCTGTGGGTCCTTCTAGTGACCAAAAATTTAAGAGTAATCATTAGAATACACACATGCACACACACACGCACACAAGCGAGGGCACACACACACACACACACACACACACACACACACACTCAGGTGTGGAGGTGGGTTTAGCACAAGAATTCCTGTAAATCCACTTTCTGTTTTCTTGTGTTCTCTGAAGAAGAAGGCTGGAGGAGGGCATACAAGTTCTTAGTCTTACAGAATTGTACTTTAAATTCCAAAAGCTTTCTAAGAACGTTAGTGAGCTCCTGCCTGGCAAATAGTCCCCTGCTCATGGACTATAAGTCTTTTCAATTTTTTTTCTCAATTGTAGTGAAAAGATACACAACAAAAATACTTGCAATACTACTTGCATGTATGATACTGAAAGGCACTGACTCCATTTTATATTGTGTCACTATTACTGTGGTACCACAACTATTAACATAAACTCAATGCTCCCTCAACAAAATCTTCCCGTCTCCCTTCCTCCTACTTCTTAGTAAGCTTTAGTTTTTATGTATTTGCCTATTTCCTATAAATGAGGTCACACTCTCCCCCTCCTAATTCTGAATGAAGTACTGCACTCAGCATATTTTCCATGTCCATCGCTGTTGTGGCATGTACCCGAACTTCATTTCTCTTTGTGGCTGAGAAATAGTCCATTGTTTGTTCATATCACGTTTTGCTTATCTATTCATCTGTTGATGAACAAAGCTTCAGCTGTTTGCACTTCTCGGTAACTGAAAAGTGCAGCAAATGAGCACTGAGGCACAGCTTTCCACCTGTGTTCCCGCCTTCACTTCTTGTGAGTATACATCTAGGTAATGGTAATTCTTGTGAGAAGAGGCAGTAAAACTTTTATTTGGAGATTTTGTGTGTGTGTGTGTACCGTCAAACTGGATCTGACCGGTACAGGAGGAGATTGCCCCTCCTTCTCCAGCAGAGCATCTGGTGGATTCGAACCGCATACCTCTGGGATTGCAGTGCAGCTTCTTGCCACTAGCTCCCTTGTTTGGAGATCTTACAAGTGAGAAGTTTTACAGGTCAATACAGTCAATAAGTAGAACTATTTCCTGTGACTTAGAGATGGATTTCTCTTGAGTGCTGGAAGTTCTTGTTTCAGGTCTTCTGAAATCCCTTGTACTCAGCTTCTAGTCCCAGTGCCAGAGGAGCCATCAGTATCTATGCTGTTGTTGTTAGGTCCCAGTAAGTTGACTATAACCCTAAAAATAACAACTTTGACCCTTGCACTAACCTATGCTGCCCTCACAATCTCTCTTACGCTTGAGCCCATTGTTACTGTCTCTGAATCAGTCGCTCTTGTTGAAGGTCTTCCTCTTTTTCTTTGACCCTCCACCTTTCTCAGAATAACATCTTTTTCTAAGGCCTGGTCCCTTCTGACAACATGCCCAAAGTATATGAGATCAAGTTTCACTATCCTTGCCTTTAAAAAAAACCCAAGTTGCACTTCTTCCAGGGAAAACTCCCCCCCCCCAGTCTAGGATTTTGAGGCTGTCTCACATACTTTGGGCATGTGACCAGGAGGGACTACCCCTTGGAGAGGGACATCATGCTTGGAAGGGTAGAAAGTCAGCACAGGAGAGGAAGCCCCTGGAGGAGATGGATTGATACAGTAATTGGAATAATGGGTGTAGGGTGTTAGAGACAGTGAGACTGGCTCAGGATAGGACAGGGTTCAGAGCTATTGTGAACAGGGTTGCTATGAGTCACAGGTGACTGAACAGCACATAACAACAACAACAAAGGTGGCATGTTTTAGCTATTCTCAAGAGTATATTAGCAGAAGGACAAACTTTTTCCCCAGCTGCTTGTGACTAAGTAAACCATGAACATTTAGGTTATTAAACTTTAGCTTTAAATTAACAGAAAAGAAAAAAAAAATCATTGTCTTTGGTCTTTTCTTCTAGTGGCTTATATGAGATATAAGAATTTCTAGTGAACCCAGGCCAGAATTATGGACCCTCCTAGTAACACTGCCAAAGTATGTGACACCAGGTATCACCATCTAATTTTTATGAAGGTGGCACCAAAAATGAAGAAGTAACTCCTGCCCCTCCCAAAACTGAAGCCAAAGCAAAGGTGTTAAAAGAAGGCAGTCCTGAAGGGCATTTACAGCCACAACAAAAAGAAAATGCACACGCCACCCACCTCCTGGAGGCCTAAGATACAAAGACGCCGAAGGAAGACCAAATACCCCCGGCAGAGCACCTCCACGAGACACAAGCTTGACCACTACGCCATCATCAGGTTTTAATTTTTTTTTCCTGACCACTGAGTTAGTCATGAAGAAAGAAAATAACAACATGCTTTGTGGATATAAAGGTCAACAAGCACCAGATCAAATAAGCTGTGAAGAAGCTTGCTCTGACTGTGATGCTTTGTATGTTGCCAACAAAATTGGGATCATCTAAACTGAGCCCAGCTGGCTAATTCTAAATAGACATTTTTTTTCTCAAGAAGAAAGAAGAATAGAGATATTCTAACTTTAGTTCTTCAAAGACAAAATTGTTTTCTCATTTGGTGGTTCATGGTATACTTAGTAGTGTTCACAAAAGCCACAATTCAAATACATCAATCCCTAGATATCATCCAGCTTTCACATGTCTATGTTATTGTTTTTAGATGCTATCAAGTCGACTATGACTCAGAGCAACCCTATGAACAACAGATTGGAACATTGCGACCACTTGTCTGTTTGCCAAATGTTGGGAGCTTGCATGTTGTCGTGAAGCTGGAAGCTTTACCACCAGTATTTCAAATGCCAGCAGGGTCACCTGAGATAGATTTCAGTGAAGCTTCCAGACTAAGACAAACAAAGAAGAGGACTGGCCATCCACTTATAAAACTTCATAAGAGAGGGACATTGTTGGATATGATGGTGGAACATGAGACCTTCAGGTTGGAAGCAAGAGAGAGGGAGAAGAAACAGCTACAAACTTCCATAAATAATAGGAACATAGAATGTACAAAGTATGAATCCAGGAAAACTGGAAATTGTAAAAAAAAGAAATAGAATGACTAAAGATACACATCCTAGTCATAAGAAAGCTAAGATGGACAATTGTTTGTACTGTATTTTTTGTCTTATTGTATTGTATTACATTGTTTTTATTGTATTATTCTATTATGGTGGTAATGACAAATTGAAGAAGAATGCTATCCCATTCACAGTTGAAAGTAATATTTC